TCTCTCTCTCTCTCTCTCTCTCTCTCTCTCTCTCTCTCTCTCTCTCTCTCTCTCTCTCTCTCTCTCTCTCTCTCTCTCTCTCTCTGTGCTCTCCTCCCTTCTTGCTGCTTGATCCCCTCATCCCTATTTGCCTCATACCTCATGGCCCATGCCACCTCATTGTCTCGTCACCCCTGTTTCATGGCTCCCCACGTGCCCACCTTGTGTGCATATGAGAGAGAGAGAGAGAGAGAGAGAGAGAGAGAGAGAGAGAGAGAGAGAGAGAGAGAGAGAGAGAGAGAGAGAGAGAGAGAGTTGGTGCAACCAAGTGACAAAGGCCGGTCAGTATATCATCATTTCTGATGTTTTGGTGATTTATATACCAGATTGTGAATCCCTGTGGTATTTTATTGGTGAACCCTGAAGTAATGTGTTGGGGCTGTTGCGACGGCCCATCCCATCCCATAATTATATTTCTTCAGTTCATCTGAGAAGGTATGGGGAATCGTTTCTTTGCGGCGTTCCTCTTGTGATGATCAACATCTGCGCAATGGGACTACACCGCTGCCGAACTGCTGACGCCTGCAGAATATTTGTTTTTTTGGTGAAAGTTCCTGGAGGAGGAGATAGAAGGCTTCAGTCGCGCATGGACAGTTTCGCATGACGCCGTGTACAATTATTTGGAGGCTCATCTTGTTTACTCCCTTGCGAGTGAGAATCATGGTACGTCAACATTTTGTTCCCTGTCAGCAGTTTCCTTCTTTTTTTTTTTTTTCATTAATCGGGCCCGATAGTGAGGATGAAACAAAGTTCAAAACTTGAAAAGCCATATTAATCATTATTAACAAGTTGTAATATTGAGTCAAAAAAAAAAAAAAAAAAGGTTGTCAAAAAAAAAAAAAGAAAAGCTTGTAATCAGGGTCACCAGCCCATACGTACGGAGGTCCCCGGTCAGACCTCCGTACGTACGGGCGTTCGGGGTCCCGTATGGGGTCCGAACCCGACGGCGTTCGGCCCCCGCCAAAAATTATTTCGGGGCCTAAAAATAATCATTTTTTTCTGAAGTTTCTTTTGTGAGTTCTCTATGACGTGAGGTACATATGCCTGTAAATTTTCTAGTCATTTGGCTAAGCCCCATAAGAATTAAAAATCGCCAAAGATGGCGGTGTCAAAACGTGCTCGCCCATGTATTTTTTCACTTTTTACTTTTTGTTTTCACTTTAGTTCGGGGTCTAAACAATTTTATTATTTTTTGAAACTTTTTTAGTGGGTTTTGTATTATGTGAAGTACACATCTGTAAATTTTCAGGGCATTTAGCTATGCCAAA